GTAGCGCGCTAGCGCTGTGCCAACACAGCTGATATCTTTACGAAGGCGCTTGCGCCTAAAGATCATCAGCGGCACTGTGTACAGCTGGGTCTCGTTCCTATAGCCTCTCACTTGCTAGGGCCTTGACTTTGAACTGTCCTTTATATATATATTTTACCTGGACTGGCCTTGTGGCCTCTCTCAGAGGCTGGACTAGTAGTGCCGCCTGAGCTGCTTCTTTCCTTGTTAGGCAATGCCCCTATATAGTCTAGGGGGTGTGTCAAATGTAACTTAGGTCGTTACTGTAGCTAGGATTTTAGGCCGTCTGACGTTCAGACGGGGTTTCAAACTTTCGTCTGACCATCATACGATTTTTTTTTGCCGGTCTGGCATTTCAGACGAAGCATTTGGCACGATCTGACAGTTCAGACGAAACCTTGCAGGAGTTTCAGTATACATCAAAGCCGAATGTGCTACATTATAGTGCTACACAAACAACTGTTACACATTGTTAGCATCCATTGAAACTGCATCTATATGCTAGGAATAGCTGGAAAAAACTCTATAGTGCTACTGATGCTCCACTACTACAACCTACATTAGGAATTAGCCTTATACTAGACCATGTTGTGCCATACCGCCATCTACCTACTCGGAGTCTGAACTATCACTTCCAACCTCCTCGATGTCATCATCACCGTCGGTCTCTGATACTTGGACCTTCTTGCCCTTGCTTTTCCTCCTCCAGATTGGGCCAGCCGCACCATCCTCTTCAAACACTCTGGCTGCTTCTGCTGCTGCTAGCGCTTCTGCCTGCCTGGTTGCTTCTGCTGCTGCCTTTGCTGCTGCCTTTGCCGCCTTCAATGCCGCCGACGTCTTGGGCCGCTTCACCTGCCGTGCGGTCTGATCCATGACAACTTCCTTGGCAGGCCGCCGCTTCTTCGTTCCACGCCAGCTAGCCACCATACTCCCCCAGTCCATCGGGTAGTCGAGCAGCGACACCGTCATCAAGTGGCCTAGCTTCGCATCACCGAGATTGCCGCGCTGCCAGCTTTTGATGACGTTCTGGTGGCTGAACCCGCGCTCACACTCCACTGTGCTGAGCGACAGCATGGCGCAGGCAATCCAGATGAGAACCAAATTGGGGTAGGCAGTCATCCAGTCCGGCGTGGAGAGCACGGTCTTCAGCGCATCATGGAAGCCCAGCTCGTCATTGTGTGTCGACATGATGGTGGTGAAACTGACGAGCTCGGCCTTCGCCTTGCCCCAGTGGACACCTGAAGGGGGGGTGAAATAGAGGCACAGAAGCCTTCGTTAAGGATCTCAACAACCAGAAAACACCCGAGCCACGGAGACACTAACAACCCCCTGGAACTCACCCGGCAGAGTGTCGGGCGCTGACGCATCACGCTTGTAGAGGCCGCGCAGAGACTGGAGCCATTCAAGAAACTTCCGCTGGCGCCTCGCAGTGGACTTTGGGTACATCGTCTGCTTGAAAATTCTTGTGCCGTTGAGCTTCGATAGATCCTTAAGGCGTCCTTGCAGGTGGTTGATGACACCGTTGACGACGTCCGTGGCGAGCTGCTGTAGCGACTTCAGATCCCCGTTGCTCCGCTGCCCATCCAGCGGCTTTGTGTGTAGAGTGTACGTGTGCACATTCAATCCCCTCGATCGTCACTTCCTCGCCCCCCGCGTACAGATGCAGAAAGTCGGTGAAGTCTCCCTCAGGTGGGCCGAACTGTGTGCTGTAATTGACGTAGCGTGCGTGCAGTGTAACGACGGTGTTGTCGACCATCCGAAGAACCTGGGTGATGTCAACCTGCCATACACAGACGGAAAGGGGAGGTGGTTTTGCTCGTTAATCATCACTCCCCTAGAACCGACGACATGACACCAACTGGCTTACCTGGCGACGCTGGAACTTGAGGTTAAGCGTGATCAGCTCCCGCAGCACATCCGCCAGAAAGTACAGCAAGAAATGAAACTTCAACGAGATAACTACGTGATACATCTTCCTATCATACTCGTACAGCATGAGAATGGCCGCGGGGAACACATCAACAAGCCGCTGGATAGCCTCACCGCGACTAAGCCAACGTATCCGGTGGATGCCTTGCGTTTCGAGGTTAGTTTCAGTGACGACTTCTTGCGGCTCCTTGAAATGGTTGTGGACGACGATGGACCGGCCGAGCACCTCGGCCGGTGACCGCACGACCTTGTCGACGATGCCTAAGTCCGGGAAATCATCTGCAGTGTCCTTGGCAGCAAGAGCCTCCCTGCAGATTAACAGAAACACTTTATTAGTCTCGGAATAATCTTTTAAAATATGCAATTTTATGGAATGCCAGAATCACCTATGCGCGATGCAGTGGCAGGAAACCAGGTGTGGAATACGGGTGCGCAGCCTAGCCACGAGGCCTGCTTGCGCACCCATCATCACACTGGCTCCATCAGTGCTGATGCCGCAAATCTTGTTGAGCTCGACGCCCTGTGACTCGAGGCGGGTGAGTAGAACGGTCTGCAGAGATGCGGCATCGCACTTCTCGACGGTGAGATGCCCGAAGAACTATGTCACCACCGTCGTGTCGCGGAGGAAGGTAAGGTAAACAATCATATGTTTACCCCGCCGGCAGTCGGTTGACTCGTCAAGTTGGATGCCCAAGAATGGTGAAGCCCTGATGTGGGTCATTTGCTTGGCACGCAGGTAAGTGACAATGTTGTCGACCACCTGATTGAAACCGTACCTGCGCATGCATAATAGTACAGTGTCAGCCTTCTTGAAACCATGTAACAAATCAACAGTATATCGGGTTGGTATCACGTAAAATACTTACTCGCTCTAGTAGGTACCGTTGTCCTTCACGGCTAGGTATAGTGTTCCCTGCTCTGCCATGAACTGGACAAGTGACACAAACAACACAACGGGGGCGTCAGATTTGCAGAGGAACATCACAATCGCCATGATTTGCTTCAGTCGCTTTGCCTCATCGTTCCCGTTCTCGAAGTCGACGATGGACTTCTGCTTCGCATTCTTGCCATCCTTCTGCTCCTTCCGTGCCATCGCCGCCTTGTGCTTTTGACTGTGGTGGTGCTTGCGCATCATCTGCTTCTGTATGTCGATGTCGCCTTCGCCGTTGCACCCATACTGGTAGTTGGGGTCGTTGTTGTACCCCATACAGATGCTACACTTCATGCATGGACGCCCCTCAGAGGTCTCGGAAATCAGCAGCCATGGGAAATACCGCTGCCACTGCTCCTTAGCTTTCAACTGGAGCTCGGCGACTGTGAGGGGAAAGGGACCATCGTCGTCGTCGGAGTCGGCAGGAGATGCTTCGGAAGACCGGGATTGCACCTGGACAGAGGGTGTAGACTGAGCCACCGCTGGTCGGCCAAACATAAGCTTGCGCTGTCGATACTTCTTGCCAGGAGCGCGAACTGGTAGGACAGGACCGCGTGTCACGCGTGAAGGGGAGACGGCTCGCACGGTTGAGCAGCCAGGTGTTGACGACGGGTTAAGTGACGTTGGAGCATCACATGTAGAGTTTTCTTTGTCAAAGAAAACCCACGGCTCGTCGTCTAACGGTGGGAGAGGCGACGGAGGTACCTCACCCACGGCTGCAACCGGAGCATCGCCGTTGCCGGCTCGGTTCAGCGCGCCAGTGAGGAGATCTAGACCACTAACAAGCGGAGGGGTTGAGCCAGGGGGCTCCAAGCCTATTACTGACTGCCTAACTGGGGAGGGGATCGACTGCGCTCTCTCTGACGCCATCGCTGCCTAGCCACAGAGCTAGAGGGCGTCTAGGCAGGGTGTGAGCCGAGCAAGATTGGAGCCATGCTGAGGGGGCTGGAAGAGCGAGGTGGAGCAAGACAAGTGGCTACGAGGCTTTTCCCTTGGTGCCTTTACCTTCAGGCGCCTCGCTGAGCTGCAGCATGGCGAGCGAGGTTGCTGCATGGCTACGAAACAGCTCCGCATTGCTGGCTCGCGGTGGGTGGCTTTCCTGGCCGCACCACTGTGCGCTGGCACATTGCTGCCAGCTTCAAGATGCAAGGAAGCTGGCAGCCGTGCAAGTGATGCACTATCGGACGAGCGATTGGCAGCAACCTGAGCCAGGTTGCTGCCCATTTTATTTCGTGACTATGCGCTGGCCGTCGCGGTGCGCGTGGAAATAAATGCACTTGCCCACCGACCAGGACCAAGACGACAGAGTGTGGGCCAGTGGGCAGGTGACCCATTGGCGCAGTGGGATAATCGGCGATTGCTGTCAGACGAAATTATACGCGCTATCTGACATTTCAGACGAAAAAGTACACCAAGTCCGAAATTTCAGACGAAATCTTATGACTGAGATTGACAATCAGACGAAATAGTTCACCCCGTAAAAAAATCAGATGAAAACAAAAAAACAGGTCTGATTTTCAGACCATCAGACGGATTTCGTCTGATATCTGAGACCATGGTCTCGAGTAAGGTTCTTTGACTTTCCACCTTGAGTGCAGTCACTTGAACTGGAGATGATAAGTGCAATCCATTTTCTTGTAGTGACAAAGTGCACTGCCTAAAACAACGATCCCCAATATATTGCCATTATTCCCCATCATTTAGATTCTATTAATATCATATATTTCTAATAAAATTTTAAAAAATCTCGTTTGATGCATCGCAATAGGTTGCTCCGCAACCCAAAAAGCTACATATGGCTAGGGAATGTGATATGGATGATGAATATAAGTGTATGCATATCAGACGGACGAATACACTTTGTAGCACCAAATTGCACACGAGCTGATGGAATCTGTCACTGTTTGTTGAGCTGCTGTACTGTGCTGTCCTGATTTTGGCCTTTTCCCCTGTGTCGAATCAGCCGCCGTTCGCCCACCCACCCACCCACCCACCCACCCATCCACATCTGTGATGGGACGTGGGTGGGTGGGTGGGTGGGTGGGTGTGCGAACGGCGGCCGATGGCAGCGAGTGAGCGGCTGATGCCACTGTCTCCTCCAACCAACCACAAAACACGATTCCCCATCATGCGGCCAGGAGGGTTCCACGGCACCCTAACCAGACAAGAAACTCCACCATATTACTTACCTCAGCTACCTAACCACCCACGCACGGCTTTTTTAACACACGGCTCCCTGGCTACTTTCCCAAACCATGTTTCCCGTCTCTGGAGGGGCTTCCATGGACGACCTGCTAGGGCTCGTCCGTTTGCTCTCATCCCAGCAGCAGCAGCAGCAGCAGCAGCAGCAGCAGCAAGCGCCGCTCTCCACGGACGGTGCGGTCGTTCAGCACGACCTGGGCACGGCGGCTCTCCTCTCGTCGCACCTTTCCTCCAACTCCGACAGCGCCGCCGCCGCCGCCGGCGCTGCTTCGTCCAGCTTCGTGGGGGCGGTGGGCTGGGCGCCGCTGTCCCGCGCGGAGGTGCTGCCGGACTCGCTGCCCGCCGCCGACACGGCAGGCCCGCTGCGCACGGCTAGCGGCACGTGGCTGGGCGGTAGCAGCCGAGTGGCGGACCTGCTGGGGCAGTGGACGGCGGCGGGGCGGGTGTGGAGCCCCGCGCCCGTCGCTACGCGGAGTGGCAGGGCAGTAGGCCCCACTGGCGCGGAGAGCATGTTGGGCGGGCAGACGAGCGGCGGAGTGCACGGAGGAGGAGGCTTGAATGCGAGAGTGGTGGTAGGCGGTTTAGGAAGGGGTGGAGACGAGGGTGGCTGGGAGGCGATGGGCAGAGGAGGAATGGCGGCCGGCAATCCCAGGGAAGCGGAGCCTGCTGACCACATGATGTGGGAGGGGCACGCGGGCACGGGAGTGAGAGGGCTGCCTCGCGCGTCCAGCAGTCCCGGCGTTGCGCCCGACACGGGGTTTGGGGGGAGGGACGGGGAAGGGCCCCGGGGAGAGCGCGGGTTTGAGGGGGGCGCGAGCAGGGGGTGGAGAGGACAGGCAGCGGAAGGCGTGGTGGGCGCCAGTAGCTGTGTGAACAGCAGCCGTGGCGCAGCAGGCGCGGGAATGGTCGGGGCAGGGGACAGTGCCCGCGCGTGGCAGGGGCGCATTGGCATCGCACAGTCAGGGGAGGAGCGAGGTGTGGCAGGGGGTGGCACAGTGGCAGACGGCAGGGCCATGGCGGGCAGCGCACTGGATCCGCGCACTCAAGCCCTCGCGCCTGAGACAGGGCAGGTTAAGCAAGGGCAGACGCAGGGTGGGGGCGAGGCGGAAGGGGGGGAAGAGGGGCTGGAGGCGCTGAGGGAGGCGGCGGCGGCGGCGGTGCAGCTGTCGGAGCGGCTGCGCCTGCACGTGGACCTGCTGTGCGCCGAGCTCGCGTGCACGGAGCACTGGCGAACGCCGGGCGGCACGGCCATGGGCGGCGGCAGTAACGGCGATTCAGAGGAGAGCAAAGTACTGGTGATGTACGTGTATGTGATGCCATGGGGTGAGGGGATTGGCCGCACTTTAGCGATGAGGGCCTTGGGTAGCAATGAGGGCCTTGGGTCGCAATGAGGGCCTTGGGTAGCAATGAGGGCCTTGGGTAGCAATGAGGGCCTTGGGTCACAATGAGGGCCTTGGGTAGCAATGAGGGCCTTGGGTTGGGTCGCAATAAGGGCCTTGGGTCGCATTGAGGGCCTTGGGTAGCAATGAGGGCCTTGGGTCGCAATGAGGGCCTTGGGTAGCAATGAGGGCCTTGGGTAGCAATGAGGGCCTTGCGTAGCAATGAGGGCCTTGGGTAGCAATAAGGGCCTTAGGTCGCAATGAGGGCCTTGGGTCGCAATGAGGGCCGTGGGTCGCAATGAGGGCCTTGGGTCGCAATGAGGGTCGCAATGAGGGCCTTGGGTCGCAATGAGGGCCTTGGGTCGCAATGAGGGCCTTGGGTCGCAATGAGGGCCTTGGGTATCAATGAGGGCCTTGGGTCGCAATGAGGGCCTTGGGTAGCAATTTGGGCCTTGGGTAGCAATGAGGGCCTTGGGTAGCAATGAGGGCCTTGGGTAGCAATGAGGGCCTTGGGTCGCAATGAGCGCCTTGGGTCGCAATGAGGGCCTTGGGTCGCAGTGAGGGCCTTGGGTCGCAATGAGGGCCTTGGGTCGCAATGAGGGCCCTGGGTCGCAATGAGGGCCTTGGGTAGCAATGAAGGCCTTGGGTCGCAATGAGGGCCTTGGGTCGCAATGAGGGCCTTGGGTCGCAATGAGGGCCTTGGGTGGCAATGAGGGCCTTGGGTCGCAATGAGGGCCTTGGGTGGCAATGAGGGCCTTGGGTCGCAATGAGGGCCTTGGGTGGCAATGAGGGCCTTGGGTCGCAATGAGGGCCTTGGGTAGCAATGAGGGCCTTGGGTAACAATGAGGGCCTTGGGTAGCAATGAGGGCCTTCCGTCGCCATGAGGTCCTTGGGTTAGACATGGTTAAATCGCATCGCATCGCATTATATCGCATTTTGCGATAGCGATTTTCAATTTTAATTTAAGAATATCTCAGCGATGCGATGCGATAATATCGCGCGATATTTGCGATATCGCGTTGTTATCGCGCTTTTTTTTGCGCGATAAAATGCGATATGCGATTTCAAAAAATCGCATTCGATACTGCTGCGTATCGCGCGCCTATGTTGCAAAAAACGCGGTTTGCGTTTTAAACGCTAATCGCTCAGGAGCCGGGGGGCAAACACCAGGAAAACGCTAAGTCGGGCAGGGCGGTTAGACTAGAGACTGCTGTCTAGGGCAATATCGTAGCAATTAAGTAGTGCTAACTGTGCAGCAGGGAGCGCTGAGGAGCGCCTAAGTCGCCAGATCTGTACGATCGTCGATCGACCTGTTTCTGGTGAGTAGAAGTATGTGAGGAGTGGTGGTTGGGTTTCCTAGATGAGATGGGGTGGAGAGTGGTGGAAGCAATTTTAGGTGTTTGGTTGGCATTGAACCTTCATTAAATTTCACCATGTTCCTGGTTGGATTCGCCACATCGTGAACTGTCGCGCAACTTTTTCCTCTTCTTTTTTTTCGTCGGGCTGCCTCGAAATAAATAACCTGAGCGTTTGCGTTTTTCTAGCATTTTAGCGATTTGCATTTAAACGCCACCATTTAAACGCAAAACGCTCGCCAACCAGAGCGTTTTGCGCAACAAAGTCGCACGCGCGAAATTGGCAGATTTGGGGGTGGGGGAAACGAAGCCCAAAAGGGGCTGCGACAAATTCTCTTTGAGAGAACCCCCACCCCAACACATTCCCACCTCATTTCCCACCACCACCTCACTCCCATTCCCAAGCTAGCACGCAAACACAATATGCAAACCCTTGGAACTCCCTTAGCCACCTAGCCACACCTCCACTCCCGAATGCATTCCCTAGCATAGGTACCTCCCAGTTAGCTACCTATCCAAAATTGCTACTGTAGTTCACTTTGACTGAAATTTAGCCCTGGCGATGCGATATCTTCTCGCATCGCGCGATATATCGCGCTCTACAGTGCGATATTTGAAAATATCGCACCCAAAACGCGATATGCGATATCGTTTTTTTCAAAAATATATCGCGGCGATGCGATATCGCATCCCCGCGATATAATGCGCGATAAGTCGAAATGCGATGCGAAATCGCATCGCATCGCGTTTTGTTTACCTTGGGTAGCAATGAGGGGCTTGGGTAGCAAAAAGGGCCTTGGGTCGCAATGAGGGCCTTGGGTCGCAATGTGGGCCTTGGGTAGCAATGAGGGCCTTGGGTCGCAATGAGGGCCTTGGGTCGCAATGAGGGCCCTGGGTCGCAATGAGGGCCTTGGGTAGCAATGAGGGCCTTGGGTCGCAATGAGGGCCCTGGGTCGCAATGAGGGCCTTGGGTAGCAATGAGGGCCTTGGGTCGCAATGAGGGCCTTGGGTCGCAATGAGGGCCTTTGGTCGCAATGAGGGCCTTTGGTCGCAATGAGGGCCTTGGGTCGCAATGAGGGCCTTGGGTAGCAATGAGGGCCTTGGGTAGCAATGAGGGCCGTCGGTCGCCATGAGGGCCTTGGGTCGCAATGAGGTCCTTGGGTAGCAATGAGGGCCCTGGGTAGCAATGAGGGCCTTGGGTAGCAATGAGGGCCTTGGGTCGCAATGAGGGCCTTGGGTAGCAATGAGGGCCTTGGGAAGCAATGAGGGCCTTGGGTCGCAATGAGGGCCTTGGGTCGCAATGAGGGCCTTGGGTAGCAATGAGGGCCTTGGGTCGCAATGAGGGCCTTGGGTAGCAATGAGGGCCTTGGGTTGCAATGAGGGCCTTGGGTAGCAATGTGGCCCTTGGGTCGCAATGAGGGTCTTGGGTCGCAATGAGGGCCTTGGGTCTCAATGAGGGCCTTGGGTCGTAATGAGGGCCATGGGTCGCAATGAGGGCCTTGGGTAGCAATGAGGGCCTTGGGTGGCAATGAGGGCCTTGGGTCGCAATGAGGGTTTTGGGTATCCATGAGGGCCTTGGGTAGCAATGAGGGCCTTGGGTAGCAATTAGGGCCTTGGGTCGCAATGAGGGCCTTGGGTCGCAATGAGGGCCCTGGGTCGCAATGAAGGCCTTGGGTAGCAATGAGGGCCTTGGGTCGCAATGAGGGCCTTGGGTCGCAATGAGGGTCTTGGGCCGCAATGAGGGCCTTGGGTCGCAATGAGGGCATTGGGTCGCAATGAGGGCCTTGGCTAGCAATGAGGGCCTTGGGTCGCAATGAGGGCCTTGGGTAACAATGAGGGCCTTGGGTCGCAATGAGGGCCTTGGGAAGCCATGAGGGCCTTGAGTCGCAATGAGGGCCTTGGGTAGCAATGAGGGCCTTGGGTCGCAATGAGGGCCTTGGGTCGCAATAAGGGCCTTGGGTCGCATTGAGGGCCTTGGGTAGCAATGAGGGCCTTGGGTGGCAATGAGGGCCTTGGGTCGCAATGAGGGCCTTGGGTAGCAATGAGGGCCTTGGGTCGCAATGAGGGCCTTGGGTAGCAATGAGGGCCTTGGGTTGCAATGTGGGCCTTGGGAAGCAATGAGGGCCTTGAGGCAATGAGGGCCTTGGGTAGCAATGGGGGCCTTGGGTGGCAATGAGGGCCTTGGGTCGCAATGAGGGCCTTGGGTAGCAATGAGGGCCTTGGGTCGCAATAAGGGCCTTGGGTCGCAATGAGGGCCTTGGGTCTCAATGAGGGCCTTGGGTAGCAATGAGGGCCTTGGGTCGCAATGAGGGCCTTGGGTAGCAATGAGGGCCTTGGGTCGCAATGAGAGCGTTGGGTCGCAATGAGGGCCTTGGGTCGCAATGAGGGCCTTGGGTAGCAATGAGGGCCTTGGGTCGCAATGAGGGCCTTGGGTAGCAATGAGGGCCTTGGGTCGCAATGAGGGCCTTGGGTAGCAATGAGGGCCTTGGGTTGCAATGTGGGCCTTGGGAAGCAATGAGGGCCTTGAGGCAATGAGGGCCTTGGGTAGCAATGAGGGCCTTGGGTCGCAATGAGGGCCTTGGGTCGCAATGAGGGCCTTGGGTCGCAATAAGGGCCTTGGGTCGCAATGAGGGCCTTGGGTCGCAATGAGGGCCTTGGGTCGCAATAAGGGCCTTGGGTCGCAATGAGGGCCTTGGGTCGCAATGAGGGCCTTGGGTGGCAATGAGGGCCTTGGGTCGCAATGAGGGCCTTGGGTAGCAATGAGGGCCTTGGGTCGCAATGAGGGCCTTGGGTAGCAATGAGGGCCTTGGGTTGCAATGTGGGCCTTGGGAAGCAATGAGGGCCTTGAGGCAATGAGGGCCTTGGGTAGCAATGAGGGCCTTGGGTGGCAATGAGGGCCTTGGGTCGCAATGAGGGCCTTGGGTAGCAATGAGGGCCTTGGGTCGCAATAAGGGCCTTGGGTCGCAATGAGGGCCTTGGGTCTCAATGAGGGCCTTGGGTCGCAATGAGGGCCTTGGGTCGCAATGAGGGCCTTGGGTAGCAATGAGGGCCTTGGGTCGCAATGAGAGCGTTGGGTCGCAATGAGGGCCTTGGGTCGCAATGAGGGCCTTGGGTAGCAATGAGGGCCTTGGGTCGCAATGAGGGCCTTGGGTAGCAATGAGGGCCTTGTGTCGCAATGAGGGCCTTGGGTAGCAATGAGGGCCTTAGGTCGCATTCAGGTGAAGCATGCATGAGTGAGCAAAGAGTGCAGGGAGGTCGGGAGGGCAGGAGGCAGGGAAGGGAGGAGGGTAGGGAGCTTGAGAGATTTCCCTTCCCAATCCAAGCACCACATTGTCATCACAGTGTGCCCCTCTCTTGTCCTTCCTTGCTGCTCTGTTGTTCTCACAAACTATCGCTCATGGTCCCCTTCGTGCTTTGTGGCATCCATCCACCCATCCATCCCCTTCCCCTGCCAGCATCCTGCGCAGGAAGATAGATCGGTTCTGTGGCCAGGGCATTGAGTGCTTCGCCGCGTGCCGACGACTCGTTGCCTCCACGCCTCTCACCCCCTTGGTGGCTCAGCGTAATCAATTGCAGAAGCAGCAGCAGCAGCAGCTGAATCAGGCAATACAAATGCAAAAACACCATGAATTACAACAGGCCAATGCCCAATTGCAGCTGCAGTGGCAGAAGCAGCAACAGCTAGAACAGCAGCAGCAGCAGCAGCAGCAGCAGCATCAACAGCAACTACAACAGCAACTACAACAGCAGCAGCAGCAGGAGCAGCAGCAGCAGCAGCATCAACAGAAACTACAACAGCAACTACAACAACAGCAGCAGCAGCAGCAGCAGCATCAACAGCAACTACAACAGCAACTACAACAGCAGCAGCAGCAGGAGCAGCAGCAGCAGCAGCATCAACAGCAACTACAACAGCAGCAGCAGCAGCAGCAGCCGGGGGAGGAGCAGCATGTGTTGGAGGGGGCGGTGCAGGGGTCCATGGGAGACACAAGGACGCCAGGCGCACCTGCTGGAGGCGGTCTCTTTGTACAGGGGCAGGGGCAGGGGCAGGGGCAGCTAGGGGCAGCAGTGGGTACTGCAGTGCAGGCGCGGGGGTCTTACGGTGCTGCGGGGCGGGTGAAGATGGCAGGCGCGCAGACGTACGAGAGCAAGGGCATGCATGGTGGTGGGGGGACCGAGGTGATGGGAGGCACTGTAGGTGAGGCGGGATTGAAGGGTGGGCAATGTGTGGAGGGTGGGGCTGGTATGGCGAGCGCAGGTGGTGCGCAGGGGCCAGGACGGGAGGCGAGGGTGGCAGCAGCAGCAGCGGCGGGCAGTCAGAGCCAGGGCTCGGGCTTTGCCTTCGCTGTAGGCGGTGTTGGCAGTGACATTCAGGGCAGCCCCAGCGGCCTGCCTGCACACACTCCCTGGGGCGCGGGGTTCACAGGCAAGGGTGCAGGCTCCAGGGAGGGGCAGGCAGGAAGGCAAGGCCAGAGAGAGGCGCAGGAGCAGGAGCAAGAAGAGAAGGCAAAGCAGGCACAGGATCAGGGGCGGGGAGAGGGTCTGAGGGGGGTGCATGGCTGGGCAGCCGAGGCAGGCGGGCACGGTCGAGACGTGGGTGAGGGGGAGGCGGGGACGGGTGCGGGTGGGCGTGCGGTGGAGGGCACGGCGTCGCCCGCGCTGAGCACGGCGTCCTCGTGGCCGTCGCAGCACGACTCCGCCCCGCCCGCCCATGGTGGCACGCTCCTCCCCGGCCGCAGCACGGCGGGGGCATGCGATGTTGATGCTGCTGGTGCTGCTGTTGCTGCAGGGGTGGGCGGAGTGGTGCAGGAGGGTGGTGCGCGTGTGCAGGCGAGGGTGAGTGGGGGGCGAGGGCAAGGGGTGCAGGGTGAGGATGCGCATGGCAAAGCAGCAGGGCAGTCAGAAGCAGAGGGGAAAGGACAAGGGAAGGGTGGCAGTGGCAAGGCGTGGAGCAGCAGGCAGCAGCAGGGTGTGGCAGGGGACACTGCTTGCACTATGGCGTCCCCTCCTCCTCCTCCTCCTCCTCCTCCTTCTCCTCCTCTGGATGCTGCCTTGCCTCGCCCCAGGTCACCGTACGTGCCACAGCAGCAGGAGCAGCAGCGCAGCCATTCGCGCAGCCCATCCCCACAGCCGTACTCCCAGGCAGCAGCGCAGCGGGAGGGGCAAGGTCGGCTGTTGGCAGGCAGTGGCAGTGGAAGCGGCAGCGATAGTGGCAGTGGTGATGGCAGCGCCAGTGATGGCGGCAGGCGTGCATCCCCTGTGAAGCCACCCTCGTCCCCCAAGGACTCCACCACCTCTCCCTCCTCCACCCGCCCCACGCTCCCCACCCATGCCACCCCCACCGCCCCCTCTGCCCGTGTCAGCTGGGGCGGGGAGTGGGAGTGTGGGCTGGAACGGCAGGCGAGTACAGCCGGCACGGAGGGGGAGAGAAGGGAGGAAGGAGCTGCAGCAGTGGGCCGGGAAGGCGCAAGAGCAAGCTGGGGAGTGGTGCGTGGTGGTGGGGTGGCAGCAGTACTGGGGGCACCTGGAGGGGAAGTACGGCCAGCAGCAGCAGCTGCGGGGTGGCAGGGGAGGGCAATGGGGGGGTGGGACAGTGGAGAGGCTGTCTCTGCAAGTCCCTTAAGCGCGTCTGCCACGCCTGTTGGCGGGGTGGTGGGGGTACAAGGGGGCGATGGGGCAGGGCGCATGGCCGGTGTGGCCGCACAGCAAGCAGAGGTGGGGCTTGGGAGCGGTGGGGGGACTGGAGGTGGTGCGGGTGGCAAGGGAGGGGGCGCGGGGAAGCGGCGGGCGTCGGAGATGTCGGCGGACACGAGGGGGACGAGGGGCTCCAAGGGGGGCAACACCAGCGACGGCAGCAAGCGCACCAAGAGGTGCGCCACAAGAGCATTTGACGCGGGCGGCCCTGCTGTGCCGTCGTCGCTGCTGGCTCGCCTCACCTCATCCGGTCCGGTGTGCTACTTGCTGGTGACTCGTTCGTTGGTATTGCCATGCCATGCCATGCCATGTACTGCGCCATTCAGTCTCCCATGGCACTCGAGTTCCTCCCCCCTCGCCTGTGGCCCCATGTGGCTGGCTGGCCGGTGTGTGCCTGCCCCCCTCAGGCCTCGAGCAGCCACGGAGGATGCGGTGATCGTGACATCGCTGGATGACGGGTGGCACTGGCGCAAGTACGGCGAGAAGCCCATCGTTGACAACCACTTCCCACGGTCAGCCACACCACACTCGCCATGCCACACACCCCACTCACTTGCCCGCCACCGTATCCCCCCTGCACCAACCCCATTCCTGCTTCCCGCACTCCTGTATTCCTCCACAAATGTGCCACCAGCGTTGATTCAATCCCTGCCCTTCCATCTGTCCCTCGCCATCCCACCATCGCCGCCTGTGCCCCCAACCAACCCCACCCCCCCGTGCAGCGAGTACTACAAGTGTTCGCTTAAGCGCGGGCTGCGCTGCCCCGCGCTGCGCCAGGTGGAGCGGTGCAGCGACGACCCCTCCAAGTTCCGCGTCTTCTACAACGGCGCGCACACGCATGACCGCCCGCTCTCGCGCCACCGCCCCGCGCCCACCTCGTCGGGCCTCATGAGCACCAGCAGTGGCGGCCCTGCCAGGTCTGACCTTTCTGCCCATGGCAGGGCAGGGCAGGGCAGCCGGGGGGGCAGGCGGTCTGCTGCTGCCGGAGCTGCCGTGATGGCGTGTGGCGATGGCACTGGTGATGGTGCTGGAGCTGGAGGAGCCAGTACGGGCAGGGTAGGAGGAGCAGTGGGTCCACTGGTGCGAGAGGACGGAGCAGGTGGGGGAGAGGGGGGCCACGCGAGGCAGGAGAGCGAGCAGCAGGTGCAGAGGGTGGGAGCAACAGGGTTGTGTGAGGATGCGTTGACGGCAGCGCCAGCGGCACCACAGCCAGACCATGATGGTGTGCGAGATGCCGCCCATCCCTGCAGTGACCATGCCCCTGTGGCAGACAGCCATGGCAACGGCAACCGCAACGACGATGACGATGACGATGGTGGCGAGTTCGGTGGATTTGGCATCGTCATTCCGAGAACGGCAGATGCGTCTGCCCCTGCAGCCATCCTGCCGTTCTCGTCCGCAGGTGCACGTGCACTTGCCTTGGAGCGCAGCTGTTCCATGCAGGGTGAGACCATGACACCTCGTGACTCCTCCCTGTCCTCGCCCTGCTCCGCTTCTGCTGCTGCCACCAACCATCTTGTCGCTCCAGCGGCGGCCCTTTTCAGCCCTGCTGCATCCACTGCTGCCCCTGCTACTGCCTGGCCGCGCCTTGCATCATCATCCGCAGCAGCAGCGGCAGCGGCAGCGGCAGGCAGTGGGGGGGAGGGCGCCGTGACCCCTACGAGCGTGCCTGCAGCGGGCAGTCACTATGACCCCTTCACCTCGACCCTCTCGCCCCTCGCATCTGTGGCCTCTCGCCCCGCCCCGCGTGCCGCGTGGCCTCCCAACGCCTCCCTGTGGCCGCACACCGCTGCTGCCCGCACCCTCTCTCGTGCGGGCGCCAGCGCTCAGGCAGGCGCAGCAGCCAGTGGGGACAGAGGCTTTGCTGGAGACGTGGGAGGGGAGGAGGGGGAGTGCGGCGCCGGGACGATGCAGGAAGGAGCAGGGGAGGAGGGAAATAGAAGGTTCGGAGAGGTGGACGGAGGCAGTGAGGAGTGTGGGAGAGCAGGAGGAGGAGGTGCGGGGGGGGACGAGCAGAGCAATGGTGGTGTGGGGGAGTTGGGGGACGTGCCTGGTCTCACTCTTCCGGCCCAGCCAGCGCTGGACCTGCAAGGCTTCAGGTGGCATGACGAGAGCACACAGCTGCAGGGGCAGCAGCAGGGAGGCACAGAGCGCGGGATAACATGGGGCCCACTTGCTGCCACACACCCAGGCATCCAGCCACCCAAGGGAGGAATGTGGCAGGATGAGTCACAGCAGGTCAATCAGGCACCTTTCATTTCCTCGCCGTCCACTGGCCCACCTACTACCGCGCTGCCCACAGCTACCCACCCGCCCACTCAGGACCCGGTGCTGCTGCAGCTGCAATCGCTGCCGCTGCCCCACTCGGCACGCTCGCAGCGCGCGGGTGGCGAGGGTGCAGGGGGCGGCAGCGAGCCCAGGTACAAGGCAGTGGCCATGGAGATGGAGGTGGGGGTGGAGGTGGACGGCCAAGCACCTGCGCCTGCGCTGGGCGCATCAGAGGCAGCAGCAGCAGCGCCCACAGCGGCGCCCCCTTCTCCGCAGCGCACAGCGCTGTCGTCATCAGGCGGGCCTGCGAGGGTCACCTGCGAGTCAGCAGGGGGCGCGGCGACAGTGGCAGAGGGGTCGATCATGGAGAGTGGCAGCGGGGGGGTGGGTCCGCCGGAGATATTCGTGCCGGTGAGGCGGCCGCTGGACATGATGCGGCAGGGCGACGACGAGGCGCTCTCACCCCCCACCATCTCGCCCACACTCATGGGGCTGCTGCGCGCCTTCAACTCACCCCGGGGGGCCTCCTGGTAGCCCCCCTTGTTAGAATACGAGAATGACTAGAAACAAGGGAGAGCAAGGGAGATATAGGGTTGGTTGGAGTTGTACCCTCTAAGAACACACACCTATCTAGCCTATAACTTCTACATACAAATATATGTATAAATTGAAACAACCACTAGGCTAGATAAGGGGCAGTGCTTGTCAAACATGTGTAGTTATCATGTTTGTATAGACTGTATAGGGTCACCTTCTAGAGAGTACAACATTTAGGTATATGTTTGTGTACTCTCTCTCTCTTATCATTCAATTCTAGGTTTGATATGGTATCACGAGTAGGTTTCGACCCCCCCCCCCCCCCCCCCCCCCCCCACCAGGCCTCAAAATAGCCGGGTGAAATGCCCTGATTGCCCTGATTTTTCCGGGTATTTTTCATGTTACTCTTAAAAATCCGACTTGTAATTTTTTTAAGGCTGATTCAAAAAGTGTTCGCCTTTTTTTACCCTGCTAGAACCAGGGTTAGGCGCCTCCCAGCCCTGAGGCGTCAGGGTAGAATGAAAATTACCCTGATACAGAAACTTCAAAGAGGCAAGATACGTGCCAGATTTTGTGCGAGTGATGCCCGCCACGCCACCGCCACGCCCCTCGTCAGTCCGAAGTTTGTTGCCCACCATCATCACATGCGCATGGGCACGTGTTGATGGTACCACCTCGTTGGCTTTGCGCCGCCTTACGATTGGTTAGAGTGGCAGCATTGTTTCCTCGCTGGGTGACAAGTTCGCGCGCCGACAGTGAATGCTGATGCATGCAGCAACTTCACAGGTTTTTTCCTGTGAGCTGAGCGGTCCCAAACGAGGCTCTTGACTGCACACCTTTTGTGTCTCGCAAAACGCCCTTCTTCTCCATACGTTTCTTCCAGAAACCATGCCCCCTGACTTGCAACGAGCATTCCCTCACCCAGTAGAGTTTCGAGTAGCTGGATCGTCCTTCAGCCATGGCGCTCGATGCTGCCGATCCTCCTGACCCTCCCCCACTGAATGGACTCAGCGTTCTTGGGGTTTTCCCCCTCCTCCCGCCGCGTAGAGTTGCGCCTTCCCCGCCGCGCAATCCCTCGCTCGACAAGCGTGCACCCCCTCCGCAACAGTTTCTTTTTGAGCCAACGTCCCCACCTTGCTCTTCTCATGCTGCTGAGGCGATCGACCTCAACCTGTTGCACAGCGAAGGCACTTCTGGCGAGGCACCAGAAGTTGCTGAGTCTGTCGCCACCGCTCCCGCCAAGAGGAAGGACTGCGGACCATGGACTCAGCGTCGGCTTCCTTGGGCGCCACCGCCGAAGAAGCCGGCTGCACCGCCTACTCCTCCGCCTGTTGCTCCTACTCCGCCCCAGAATCCCGCTTCTCATGTCGACGCGGAGTATGAGGTCGTGAATCGTCGCTTCGTGGACGACTGGTCACGACGCTTCCCGTGGCTCCGACTTACTCGTATGAAGAACGGCCGACCTGCCCTCAAATGTGCCCTGTGTCTCCAGTACGGTGATGCTTTCTCCAACACTTCATATGGCAGGAAAGGAGAGGGTGCGCGCGATCTCCAGGTGGGCAGCATCCGAATCCACATTGGGACACGTGCTCACAAGGCGGCTGTCAAGGCGCAGCAAGAACGGGAGAAAGAGACGGATCAGCAGAAGACGCTAGACCGATGGGCGGTGACAGATGCATCGACGAAACATCTCATCCGGTGCTTCCATATCGCCCTTTTTGTCTGTAAGGCCGACGCGCCCATCACGATGTACGTGGCGCTTTGCTACTTCCTCGTGTCCGAGGGCTTACCCGATCTCCCGCAGGGTCGGGCGTATGGGACCTACTACACGGAGTGAGTTTTGATATCCGAATCCCTCTTCTCCCGTCAATGCATTGCATGTCGCCGCAGACATCGAACGTTGCCGTAATTTCCTTGTATGTGTCCACTTGCTCTCCAACTTTCTTACCAGTAGCCTATCCATTCCCATCTCCCCCTACCAGTTATGGCTTCAAGCAAGGGACCAAGGCGATTTCCGAGTACCTGAAGGACGAGCAGCTCCACCACATCCTGAGCTCCCCGTTTGTCGGCATCGCCATCGATGAAAGCACGGACCGCGTGCACGGGAAGCATCTAATTCTGTATGCTACGTTCTTTCGTGGCAACTCGGTAGTCACAGAGTTTGTCACTCTGCTAACTGTCGAGCGGACCGATGCGGCGTCTCTGACGGCGGTTCTTCTACAGTACCTGCAGTACATCGGTCTCGACCTCCAGAAGATCGTCGGGATGGCTACCGATGGAGCATCGGTAATGACCGGTGTGCAACAGGGAGTGGTAACCCGCCTAAAGAGGCGGATTGAGCACCTGATGGCTGTTCACTGCATCGCCCATAGGTGGGGTGTTTTACTCGCTACCCTCATGTTTTCAGTAGAACGCTCCAAATCATTGCATCTGTTCTAGTGTTGTACTCGTTGACCGTATGCTTTTCCTCTGCTTGTCGGACTCATTGCTTTTTTGTGTTTAATCCACTCCTCCCGCCAGAGAGGCACTTGCGGCGAAGGATGCTGCCGCTGCTGTGGCCGAGCTACAGATCATCGACATGCTCATCCGTGCTTTCGCCGAGCTCGTCGGTCGCTCCAACAATCAGCACCTCAGCTTCATAAACTTCCAGCTGGTGTTTTGCAACACCAATCTAGAGATGCAAGGGATCCACGCCGTACGTTGGTTGTCGCGCGGAGAGGCGGTGATCCGCTTCGTCGAAGTGCTGCCGGCGGCCATCGTCTTGCTGCGTGATCACCCCAGCGGTCTTTTCGAGATTGTGACGTCGTTCAAGGTGCAGTTCATGCTGCACTACCTCGCCGACATACTGGAGGAGCTGAATCACCTTAACACCCGCTTCCAGCAGCGCCAGGTATGACACTCCTCTCATCGTTGAATGTCGTCAGTACCATGTGCTTGCATCTAGGCACTCAGTCATACTTTGCACGTTTATTTTGCATGTCGTTCATGGTGCCCTGTTTGCTTTGAAATTATCTCTGTGTTTTCGTTGCAGGTGGATCTCACAATCGTGGCCTCAGTGGTGGACAACACGTGCAACCGCATCACCGACCGCTACATCAAGTGCGGCGGTGGTCTCTTCTTCGGGAACGGCAGCGAGAGGCTTGGGAAATTCCTGGAGCGTCACGGGAGGCCCGACCAGCGCCGCGTGCGCGTTCAAGGCGTTGACTCGGAGGGGAATGCTCAGGCGTTCGAGTATGTGCTGCATGAGCGGATGGTGGAGGGGCACAACTCCAAGAGCGACCTAGACTCCTGCGCCCAAGTCTGCCGGAAGCATGCAATCGATGTCGTCACCAACGTCCGTGCCCGCCTGAAGGACCTGGCTAACATGGAAGGATGCAAGCTCTTCAAAGCCAAGACCTACCCACGAGACGACGAGTTGCGCCTAGCGAGATGCAAGCAGTGGCTGAAGCAGTCCCACAACCTCTTCGATGGAAAGCTCCCAGGTGAGACAGATTTGTTCTCGATGATGCTGCCTGTCATCGATGCTTGCGTGTCCGTTCTTAGGCTGCAGTCCCCGCAATCCATTTGCAGCAACATTCGTTGCACATCTCCCCTCAAAGGCTTACTGTTTCCTATCCTTTGAATCCCAACCCCACCATCCTGTAGGCTTCGACTACAACAAGGCCGTCACGGAGCTGTGGGTGTTTACTGCTACCATGGTGTCGCAGTACAAAGATGACGAGTTTCAACAGGGGCTCACCTTGACTCTGGACAACAATGAGTGGCAGCGGAGCTACCCCAACATCCTCAAGCTGTGGCAGGCACTGGCGGTGCTCCCTCTCAGCACAGTGGAGTGCGAACGTGGTTTCTCGAAGCAAAATCTGATCAAGTCATGGAGTCGTGGGTGCCTTGGCGATGACAGCCTGGGCGACTTGATGCGGTGCTCGCTCCTGTGCTACCAGATTGACTGGTTTGATGTGGTAGCTGTTTTCCGAGGTGAGAAGCGGCGGCGGCCTCTGCGCGACTTGTGTTCTGCCAACCCAACTCCAGCTGCGGCTTCTGCAGATGCAGGCACCATAAGGACTGACCCTGACCCTGACCCAGTTCCACTAGAGGATCCTAGTGTGCTGTAGGTCGTGTGGTTGTGATTTTCCTTGCCTACGTTCCTAGTTCATGCTAATTATTTCCATATGTTAATTATTGACATGCAGTGTAGCTAGGAATATAGTGCATTTCATAACGTGAAACTGGGTTCTGCTTTTTTTACCCTGAGCACCCAGAGTGCCGAATGTTCTACCCTGCTGAATCAGACTTGAGAAAAATTGTACTCTGACCGGCAGGGTAATTTTTTTTTGGCACTCTGATTCCTAAGAGTGGCCTAAAACCAATTTTGAGGCCTGCCCCCCACCTACCGCTTCCGCTCCTCCCGTCGCGTCTCCTAGCCTCGCCTCGCCCCTCCTGAGCCCAGTCGCGACCCCTCCCCCTAGCCCCGTCGCGCCCCTTCCAGGGCCTCGTAGCGCCCCTCCAGGCCCCGTCGCGCCCCCCTTCCAGGGCTTCGTAACGCCCCTCCAGGCCCCCGTCGCGCCCCTCCAGGGCTCTGTAGCGCCCCTCCAGGGCCCCGTCGCGCCCCCTAGCGCCCCTCCTGGGCCCCGTAGCGCCCCTCCAGGGCCCCGTCGCGCCACCTTAGCGCCCCTCCTGGGCCCCGTCGCGCTCCTCACAGGCCCCGTAGCGCCCCGTAGCGCCCCTCCTGGGCCTCGTCGCGCCCCTCCTGGGTTCCGTAGCGCCCCTCCTGGGCTTCGTAACGCCCCTCCCAGGCCCCGTCGCGCCCCTCCTGGGCTCCGTAGCGCCCCTACTGGGACCCGTCGCGCCCTCCCTGGGCCCTGTAGCGCCCCTCCTGGGCCCCGTCGTGCCCCTCCCAGGCCCCGTCGCGCCCCTCCTAGGCCCGTAGTGCCCCTCCTGGGCCCGTAGCGCCCCTCCTGGGCCCCCATTGCGCCCCTCCTGAGCCCCGCCGCGCCCCTCCTGGGCCCCCCATTGCGCCCCTCCTGGGCCCGTAGCGCCCCTCCTGGGCCTGTTGCGCCCCTCCTGGGCCCTGCCGCGCTCCTCCCTGGCCCCGTATCCACCCTCCTGGGCCCCGTCGCCCCTGCTCGGCCCCGTCGCCCCTGCTCGGCCCCGTCGCCCCAGCTCGGCCCTGTCGCAGCCTCTCGGCCCCGTGGCGCCCGCCCTGCCCCTGTCGCAGCTGCCCGGCCCCTGTCGCACCTGCCCGGCCCCGTCGCGCCCGCCCGGCCCCGTCGACCCCGCCCGGCCCTGCTGTGTCCTGCCCGGCCCCGTCGCTGCCGCCCGGCCCTGTCGCTGCCGCCCGGCCTCGTAGCTGCCGCCCGGCCCTGTCGCTGCCGCCCGGCCTCGTAGCTGCCGCCCGGCCTTGTCGCTGCCGCCCGGCCCCGTCGCAGCCGCCCGGCCCCGTCGCAGCCGCCCGGCCCCGTCGCAACCGCCCGGCCCCGTCCCAGCCGCCCGGCCTCGTCGCTGCCGCCCGGCCCCGTCGCAGCCGCCCGGCCCCTCGTCGCGCCTGCCCGGCCCCGTCGCGCCTGCCCGGCCCCGTCGCGCCTGCCCGGCCTCGACGTGCCTGCCCGGCCCCGTCGCGCCTGCCCGGCCCCGTCGCGCCTGCCCCGGCCCTCCATACTTCCTGGTACTGTCCCCCGTTCCCCGCACCACTTTGCACCCTCCTGCACTTTCCTGCCCCGCCTTGCACCGCATTGCACCTCAATGAACCGCACTGACCGCACTGCACCGCACTGGACCGCACTGCACCGCACTGCATCGCACTGCATCGCACTGGACCGCACTGCACCGCCCTGCACCGCACTGCACAGCACTACACCGCACTCCACTGTCCTCCACTGCCCCTCATGGCTGCTGAGCTTCGTTTTGATGCTGAGGGTCAGCCTCTGGAGTTCGAGACGTGGTTGGCTGACCTTCGCCGCCACCTCACTGGTCAGCGGCAGGACGGCCACCCGCTTTCTGCACACCTAGACGGTATGCTCCCCTGCCCTGACCCCCCTGCTGTGCTGCCCGCTGATCCCACGCCCGCTGAGCGCGAGTCCACTGCCGCCGCTGCCCTTGCCCGCTCTGTCTGGCTTTCCCGCGATGCCCTTGCTCAGCTCGCCATTAGCAATGCCCTCCCCCCCCTTGAGCGCCCTCGCTTTAGAACCATTTCTACCGCCCAGGCCTACCTCGATGCTGTCATCAAGCGCTATTCTACCCCTCCTGCTGCCTCAGTGGGTCGCCTGATCCTCCCCCTGCTCTTTCCTGACCTGGCGTCCTTCCCCACTGTCTCTGACCTCGCTGCCCACCTGCGCTCGATAGATGAGGCCTGGCGCGCTGCCTGCACTGATGCACAGCTTAGAGTCCACCAGCCTCCCATGACCTCTACCCTCTACCTCCTTGCCACCCGCCTCCCTGACCGCCTTGCCGCCGCCCGCGACCAGTTCCTTAGCATCCACCCTGCTGCTCTCACCCTCACCGACTTTGTTGACACCCTGACTGCCATAGAGACTCGTCACCGCTCCATAGCCCAGGCGAGCGGTACAGTACCGGTCCCTATCTTTCAGGGTTGTGCCCCCGCTCAGTGTACCTTCTCCGACGGCTCTGTCGCTGTGGCTGAGTCTGCTGCTGCAGTGCAGTCCCGCTCGGGGAAGGGCCGCCGCCCCCAGGTTGGGAGCGGCGGGGGTGGCGGGGGTGCGGGTGGGGGTAGTGGTGGAGGCGGGTCGTCCGGTGCCGGTGCGGACGTGGGGACCCTGCCCGGTCCAGCTGCCCCGCTGCCTCCACCGTTGCAGCAGCCGCAGCAGCAGCAGCCTCCGCAGCAGTAGCAGCCTCCGCAGCAGCCGCAGCAGCCGCCGCAGACGAGGCCGGCGAGTGCTCTCCCGCCTGGGTGGCCTGGAGCTGGTGGTGGTCGTGCGCGTGGTGGTGCACCGGGTGGTGGTTCTGGAGGCGGGCCCTGTCAGTACCAGATCCAGACCGGTCCTCGCCGCGGCTTCGTTTGCGGTAAGATCGGTCATTCCACTCCTCGCTGTTTTCGTCGTCTGGACGACCTGTTCCGCCAGCGCTTTGGCCCGGCGCCCGACCTCCCGGACTGGCACAGCTTGCTTAGGCGTAGCATTCGGATTTTTGACTTGGACATGGATGCCATTGTAGCAGCCTTGCATGTGATGTATGCCGATGACTCTAGTGTGCTTCCCTCTTATTACCCCGTGTTGCCTAGTGTAGCTGTGCCTAGCGTAGACTCCCCTGCTGCGTCAGGCGTAGGATCTCCTGCTTTGCTTAGCCTCGGTGCTTCCACCGCTTCACTGTCGCCCCGCGCGACTGCTGCGCTTTCCTTCACCTTGGACTCTGGCGCCTCCCGGTGTTTCTTCCGCGACTCCACGACGCTGACGCCGCTGCCTGTTCCCGCTGCAGTTACTCTTGCTGACCCCTCCGGTGGTCCCGTCGTTGCCCGCAGTTCCACCTCCCTTCCCTGTCCGGCGGTTCCTTCAGGTTTGCTCACCGGTCTGCATATCCCCTCGTTCTCCAGGAACCTAGTTGGTGTCGGCTGCCTCCAGGACCTTGGCGTCACCACTACGTTCCCTGGTCACGAGCGGTATGCTGTCTGTACCGAGGCCGCCACTGGTGCCCCCCTTACCACTTTCCCCCGGGACCCGGTGTCCGGCCTGTTCACACTTGACACCGCGACGTCCCCGGCTGGGTCTTCCCCCCAGGTAGCTGCGTCCACCCAGGTTGCTGCTGCGTGCTCCTGTCGGTCCCTCACTCATCCGACTCTCCTTTGGCACCACCGCCTTGGTCACCCTGCACTCCCGCGTCTGCGTCACATGTCCCAGCACGGTCTCGTCCTTGGTCTCCCCGGTTCGTTCCCTGAGTTTCCCTCATCCCCCGCCCCACCGTGCACGCCTTGTGTCGAGGGCCGGCTCCGCCGTGCCCCTCACTCCTCCTCTTTTCCCCCTACCACCGCACCCCTGCAGACTCTGCACATGGACGTCTGGGGCCCAGCCCCGGTCCATGGGCCGCGTCGCGAGCGCTTCTTCCTAGTGCTTGTCGACGACTTCACACGTTACACCACCGTCTTTCCCCTGGAGCGGAAGGCCGACGTGCCTGACGTTCTCATCCCCTGGCTTGTCTCTGCTCGTCTCCACCGCGGTCTCCCTGCCTTGCGCCTCCACTCCGACCGGGGTGGCGAGTTCGCCTCAGGTGTCCTTGGTCGCTTCTGTCGTGCGGAGGGCATCACCCAGACGTTTACCCTGCCGGACTCCCCGCAGCAGAATGGGGTCGCTGAGCGACGCATCGGTTTGGTCATGGAGGTGGCTCGCACCTCCATGATCCACGCCGGTGCACCCCATTTTCTGTGGCCGTTCGCCGTGCGCTACGCCGCTCACCAGCTTAACCTGTGGCCGCACCCCCAGCGGCCGCAGGTTTCGCCGACCCTTCTGTGGACCGGGTCCCCTGGTGACGCGTCTGCGTTCCACGTCTGGGGCTGCCTTGCTCACGTTCGTGCCTCTGGCACGGACAAGCTCACTGCCCGCACCCTCCCCTGCGTCTTCCTTGGTTTCCCCCTTGACGCGTCCGACTGGCACTTCTACCACCCGCCGTCTCACCGTTTCTTTCACTCTCGCGACGTCACCTTTGACGAGTCCGTCTCCTTCTACCGCCGCTTTCCCCACCGTGGTCCCCCGGTTACTCCCCCCCTGTTCCTGGTTCCTCCCTCCCTGGTGGCCCCTGCCCCTCCCCCCCCCCGCCCCCCCGTCCGGCCCCCTCTGGTGTGTCTCACGTCACCCCCCTCCCGTCGGTCGTTTCGGTCGACGAGTCTTCTGACTCTGGTAGTCCTTTGGCGCAGTCCTCGCCGTCTGTCCCTCCCCCGGTGTCTCCTCCTCCACCGCCTCCGCAGCCGCCGTCGCCGCAGCTGCTGCAGCCGTCGTCTCCGCCGCCGCCGCCGTCGATGCCGTCGCTGCAGCCGCCGCCGCCGCCGCCGCCGTCGTCGCTGCCGCTGTTTGTGGACTCTGGGGGTGCTGGCGTTGAGGTGGGTACTAGTCCCGGGGCTCCTGTCGGGGCTTGTCCCGGCGGGCCTGGGGGTGGTACCGGTGCTGGCGGTGTTTCGGGCTCTGGGGGTGTCCCTTCTGGGGGTGCCGGTGTGGAGGGTTCGGGAGGTAGCCGTCGCGCAGCTTGTGGCCCTGGCGTTGGTGTTGTGTCGCCGCAGCAGCAGTCCCCGCCGGTGTCTGCCCTCCGTCTGCTCGGCCTTCCGTCCCCTGACCCTGCGCCTGTTCCTCTCCGGCCGTCTCCCCCTCTTCCCGTCTACGGCCCCGTGTTCCCTCCGCCGGACTCGTCCCCGGCTCGTTTTCCCCCTCGTTCCCCACCCGTGTCCCCTCCTCTGTCTCCTGACCCGACGCCGCCCTCTCACGTCTGGTCTCGCCGCCCCTCCCGTGCTCGTCCTGTCTCCCCCGTCCCGCGCACTCACCCTATGTTGCTCCGCTCCCACGCGTCTCGTCCTCCCCTCCTCCCGTCTCCTCCTCCGTCCTCTCTTGTCGTTGCGTCTCCTCCTCTGTCTGACTACTTTCGTGCCGCTCGTCCTCTTGTTCCTCGGGTCCTTGCCTCTCTCGTTACCGACCCGTCTGTTCCAGTGTCGAGTCTTGACGCCCTTGTCGCTGCGGTCGCTGACTTCGCCTCTACCCGCCACCTTGACTATGCCTCCGCTCTGGTCTCTGACCCTGCCTGTCCTCCGTCTGTCGGGGGTGCTCCTGCCCTCGGCAGTGACGTCCTGGAGGACCGCCAGTTTGAGCTTGCTTTCCTGTCCGAGGCTGCTCCCCATCTCTGTTCCATGCTGCTAGTCCCTGAGGGTGACCCAGACGCTTTTGACATCCCGACCCCTCGTACTTACGCTGAGGCGGTTTCGGGACCTTGGGCCTCTCAGTGGATAGCTGCCATGGAGCAGGAGATGGCATCTTGGAGATCCACCGGCACCTTCGTCGACGCAGTTCCCCCACCTGGGGTGAACGTGGTCGATGGCCGTTGGCTCTTCAAGGTGAAGCGCCCTCCTGGAGAGCCGCCTGTGTTCAAGGCGCGTTACGTGGCTCGAGGCTTCAGTCAGCGCGAGGGGGTGGACTTCTTTCAGACTTTCGCTCCTACCCCGAAGATGACTACTCTTCGGGTTCTGCTACACGTAGCGGCCCAGCGTGACTACGAGCTTCACTCCCTCGACTTCTCCACTGCCTTTCATCAGGGCAGCCTTCACGAGCAGGTCTACCTGCGTCGTCCTCAGGGCTTTACTGGCACCTTCCCCCCTGGGACCCAGTGGCTTCTGCGGCGCCCAGTCTACTGTTAGGATTAAGGACGGAGTCTAGGTGAACTTAGGAGCTAGAATTACTCAAAATATAAATCCGAAATTCTGGACAGAAAAGTCGTCTTCACAAGAAACGACGTCGACAAACAACTAGCCGTTGGAATGTCGCGAAACTTGGATATGTTGTAGCTCTTAATCTCAGCTACCGTTCCCAATTTGAATCATGTTGATTGATAAAGTATTCGCGACGCTATGGCTTTCGACGCACTAGGGGGTAAGCTGTAGGAGGAGAACTTAACTCAATCTCAAAGGTTCAATCAAAGTTCAAGAATCTCACAAGGAATTAGAAGGAGCAAGAGAAAGGTTGGGATAGAAAGAGAGGGACGAGAGGGAAGGTCCCAAGAGAGTCCCCAACCAAGGAAACCCCATAAGCACAAAGATTCCCTCCCTATAGGAACCCCAACTTTGACATTTGTCCCTTCCCAACCAATCCATCCAAGTTGGCCACCCTTGCCAACCTAGCTTGGTTGTTCCCAACCAATTTGCAGCTGTTACAGTGAGTGACAAATTTCCCAAACCCCCAAAGGTCCCAACTCCATATAGAGTCACCCCACAACTTCACTTTGTAACCGCCGCAATTGTAACGCAAGCTCATGAACTTTGAATCTTCATAGCTTTCGCGTTCTTGCTCCGATTGAAGGGATTCTCGTTGCGTCGGAAAGATCTTCTCAAGATCTATCATCACAAAAAACCTGCTCAAACAAAATAACACAAAACACATTCCCAAACTCCAGAACACATCACACACAAATTCTTGCACACGTTCAAACCACACATGCAAGTTGAAAAAATATGGGATGGGAGGCAGACAGAATGTGATAGCATATGATGACATCACACAACAATCTCCCCCTCTGGCTGCCAACCATCATCCACCATACCAACATCTCAAGCATGCATACTCAATGCACACTCATCCCAGCAAGCTTCATGCCCTTCCAATGATCCGCCTCCGCCAGACGCTTGGTGAAAATATCTGCTGCCTGCTGATGGGTCTTCACTATCTCCAGCCGCACCTCCTTATCAAGGAGTCTCCTCACCCAATGCCACTTAGGCCTTATGTGTTTTGTCAGCCCATGCAGACAAGCATTCTTGGCGAGCTTCACAGCGGACTCATTGTCACAAAACACAACTGTCGGCTTCTCCTGACCAACTCCCAACTCCTCCAACAAACGCCTTAGCCACACTACTTCCTTGGCCCCATGGTGTAAGGCCATGTACTCAGTCTCACATGAGGACAATCCCACCTCATTCTGCTTCTTGCTGCGCCAGCTCACAGCACCACCTCCTAGCAAGCACACATAACCCCCAATGCTGGTGCCATCCGCTTTCACTGAGTTGAAGCTAGCGTCAGTATAGCAACTCAAGAGCATCTCTCCACTCTTCCCATCTGCAGCACCTCTCTGCAACCGCTGCCTCACTCCACTGTACTCCAATCCCACTGATGCCGTAGCGCTCACATAGCGGACCAACCTCTTGGCCGCTTCCAGCTGCTCATGACTAGGGCGTGAGACCACACTAGCCAATCGTGATGTAGCAAATGCAATGTCAGGCCGTGTATGATTTGCAGCATAATTCAGCGACCCAACCATCGAATGAAACAGCTTCCTGTCACTATCACCCACTACCTCCTCATCAGCACATGGCTCCACAGTAAACCCTGAAGGTAGTGGTGTTGCTGGCTTTCCCCCATCTTGCAGCCCATACTTCTCAGCCAGCCCCTCACAGTACTTCCTCTGGTGCAACCTCAGCACACCCTTTTCCACATCTCTCTCCACGTGCATCCCCAAGTAGTACTTCACCTCACCCATCTTGGAGCACTTGAACTGCATCTCCAGCATCTGCTCTGCGCTGTCCAGCAAAGCAGTGGATGCAGAAAAGAGAAGGATATCATCCACATACACCAAGAGCATGAGGATTTCATCCTTCTCCTGCAGCAGGAACAGGCTGGGGTCACACTCACTCTTCTTGAAACCCCCAGCCAACAGCGCCTCCTCCAACTTGTGATACCATGCACGAGGCGCCTGCTTAAGGCCATAGATGGCCTTCTTCAGCCTGCAGACCCTGCCGCTCCCGTCATCCAGCCCCTCTGGCTGCTTCATGTACACCTCCTCCATAATGATCCCATTCAGAAAGGCAGTCACAATATCCATCTGCCGAATCTTCCATCCCAGGAGTGCAGCTATCGCCAACAGCACCCTCAGTGTTGTTCCTTTCCCCACAGGAGCAAACACCTCATCATAGTCCTTCCCCTTTGTCTGCTGAAACCCCCGTGCCACAAGCCTAGACTTGTAGCGGGTCAGCTCCCCTTCAGGTCCATACTTGTGCCTGTAGATCATCTTGGAAGTGATTGCCTTCTTTCCAGGAGGCAAGTCACACAGGTCCCATGTCTCGTTCTCAATTAGGGACCCGAACTCCTCATCCTCACTCGCCTTCCACTTCTCCCCATTTGGTCCATTCAAGGCCTCTTCTCGAGTCTTGGGCTCAGGGATTGGTGCCCAGTAGCAGTGAGCGATCTCATCTTCCTCAATCTGCTCAACCACACTCCCAGCCTGCACCACATTCGGCTTGCCTCTTCCCCCATAGGTCAGCCTCACTGGAGGGCGCACATCCCTCCTAGGACGCTCAGGCGGGTGTGGAACTCGAGGTGGAGACTCATGCTGCTGCTGCTGCTGCTGCTCTACTTCAGCTGCTCCCCCTTCCTCAGTCACCCCAGACATCTCCTCCTCTGACACTGCAACCTCCACCTGTCTTGAAGGGTGCTGCACCTCATCTGCCTCCACAATGAGCGGTGTAGATGGAAGCTTCTGTTGCTGCTGCTTCCATTCCTTGTAGTACAGGGACTCAAGAAACTTCACATCCCTTGACACTGTCAACTTCTGGGTGGTCAAGTCCCATAGCAGCCACCCCTTGTGATCCTTTGCAATCCCCAAGTGCACACCCCATCTTCCAGAAGCCTCCAACTTCCCCCTTTTCTCCTTAGGCACATGAAACACCACCATGCACCCAAATGCCCTCAGCATGTTCACAGTTGGAGCACTCCCATACCACTTGACATATGGGATCCACTCCTTATCTCCAACTGTAGCCAGCACCCTGTTCTTCACAAGGGCGACCTGCCTCAGTGCAGACACCCAAAACGGATCAGGCAGCCCTGCACGCCCAAGGAGAGTGCGTGCCCCCTCCTGCAGGGTCCTGTTGAACCTCTCAGCCACGCCATTCTGCTGCGGGTTGTAGGGCACTGTCAGTTGATGCTGGATCCCCTTCCTCTTCAACTCCCCCTCAAAATCAGCTCCAATGAACTCCCCACCATTGTCACTGCGGATCACCTTCACCTTGTATCCGCATTCCCTCTGAGCTCTAGGCATCCACTCCTTAAGGACAGCCGCTGCCACCTCCCCCTTGCTCTTCAAAGGGTAAACCCACACTGCCCGAGTGTGGTCATCCACAATTGTCAAGAAATAGCGGCTGCCTGAGAGGGAAGGGGCTCTTGTGGGCCCCACCACATCCATGTGCACAAGTGCAAGTGGGGTCTTGGCTGGTCCTGTAGTGCTGTTGAAGGGGAACTTGGAGAACTTGGTCTCCAAGCATGTAGGGCAGCTCCCAATCTCCTTCACTCCCCCTTTCACCTCCAAGCCCTTCAGGCTCCCATCCTTCACCAACTTCTGCAGCATAGGGAAGTTCACATGACACAGCCTCTCATGCCATGTCTCCCAATCGGCCTCTCCACTCCTTGATGAAGCCTTAGCCCATGCCGCACTCGCATCCACACCAGCAAGCACCTCACCATGTGTCTGCTGCTGCTGCACTTTCTTGACTGCTTCCAGGACCCCATCAGTTGGTGCAGTTGCATCTCCTCCTGCTGTTGCCTTTGCCGCTGCTGCCGTTGCTGCTGTTGGAGTCTTCCCATTCCATGGGATGATGGGCAGCTGCCACAGGTCCTTGATGCAGCTGGTCTCCTCTTCCAGACTCCACAGCACCTTCTTCCCAAGCTTAGCACGGCAGCTGGTTGGTCCAAAGGTCACTTCGGCCTTGCTCTTCTGCAGTCGTCGCACAGAGAGAAGGTTAGCAGACAAGCCTTCAACCAGCAGAACATTCCCAAGCCCCACAAGCTCCCCATTAGCTCCCTTAACCTTGGCATTTCCAACACCAATGACAGGGAGCAAAGCACCTGACGCTGCTGCCACATACTTGATCTTCCCAGGGGGTTTTACCTCATCAAGCAAATCTGCCCGTGGGGTCATGTGACTGGTGCAACCTGAATCAATCACCCAGTGCGTGAGAGGGTGCATCACAACCTTTCCCACAGATCCCACATCACCCTCATGCCCATGCACATCCTCAACCATGAGATACATCCCAGGATAGGCGTTACCTTGTGCACCTTCACCTTGTGCACCTGAGCCTTGCACAGCGCCACCTTGTGCGCGTTCACCACTTGGCGGCTTCATGCCTGGAGGTGACCATCCCTCCAGCCTGCTGAAGCACTTGAACCAAGGATGCCCGACCTTCTTGCAGTACCAGCAGGTGCCCTCCATTCTGGTACTCCCCCTGCCACTGGAGCTCCCATGCCCCTCATTATAGTCACCTCGGCCTCTACCTCTGCCAAAGCTTCTCCCACGGCCTCGGCCTTTCCAACCCCCTCTTCCTCTGCCGCGCCCTGCAGCTCCATACCCCTCAGCAGTCTTAGTGGCAGCACCGCCTCCCACATGGCGTCTGCGGAAGTCCTCCTGCAGAATCTGCTGCCTTAGCCACTCAGGTGTCCATTGATCTTGCTGAGAGTTGAGGGTGGGGATGAGGTTATCCCACGAGTTGTCCAACACCGAGATGATCTTGGTGCACTGCTGCAGCTGAGATACACTGCTGCCCGCTGCTGCCATCCTTGCATAGGTGTCCTTGATCTTGTCAAGGACCGGCTTCACATCGTCCCCTGGTCGCATGGAGATGGCAGCAAGTTCCTTCTCGAGCACGATCACCATCGGGAGAGTGTTGGGCTGAATCACATCGCGTAGTAGTTTCCACGCCCTTGGACCCGAATCATCCGCTTCCACAAGATCCTTGATGTGCTCGAACATCTCCTTGTTGACCGATTGAAGGATGAGGTCGAAAAGCACCGCGCTTTTCTCAATCCACCGTTCGCGTGCTTCGCCTTCTTCCGGCATCTTCTCTTCCCCAACAGCAATCTTCAGTAGCTTGTAGCGTTTGAAGGCACTCCTCATCCGTCCGCTCCATTCCTCATAGTTGGAGCCATCCAAAGCTTCAACTTTTGATGGCGGCGGCTCACTTGTCTTCTCAGCTACAGCTCCTCTTCCATTAGCATCTCCTCCTCTCTCATTCATCTTCTCCTTGAGAAATGACGAATTTCAGCCCCCCTTTGCTGTCCACACTCAGCTCCCTCGATATTTTCACAAGTGTCGGCGTCCACGAAATTTCGGCAGAGTTTCCCTTAGCGGAAGACACATCCAACCTTTAGAACACCACTTAGGCACACCCACAGGCCATGGTGGGTCTAGAAGGGTCTTCACACTTCTGTAGACTCCTCTCAACGTCCTTAATACAGCTCTGATACCACTTGTTAGGATTAAGGACGGAGTCTAGGTGCACTTAGGAGCTAGAATTACTCAAAATATAAATCCGAAATTCTGGACAGAAAAGTCGTCTTCACAAGAAACGACGTCGACAAACAACTAGCCGTTGGAATGTCGCGAAACTTGGATATGTTGTAGCTCTTAATCTCAGCTACCGTTCCCAATTTGAATCATGTTGATTGATAAAGTATTCGCGACGCTATGGCTTTCGACGCACTAGGGGGTAAGCTGTAGGAGGAGAACTTAACTCAATCTCAAAGGTTCAATCAAAGTTCAAGAATCTCACAAGGAATTAGAAGGAGCAAGAGAAAGGTTGGGATAGAAAGAGAGGGACGAGAGGGAAGGTCCCAAGAGAGTCCCCAACCAAGGAAACCCCATAAGCACAAAGATTCCCTCCCTATAGGAACCCCAACTTTGACATTTGTCCCTTCCCAACCAATCCATCCAAGTTGGCCACCCTTGCCAACCTAGCTTGGTTGTTCCCAACCAATTTGCAGCTGTTACAGTGAGTGACAAATTTCCCAAACCCCCAAAGGTCCCAACTCCATATAGAGTCACCCCACAACTTCACTTTGTAACCGCCGCAATTGTAACGCAAGCTCATGAACTTTGAATCTTCATAGCTTTCGCGTTCTTGCTCCGATTGAAGGGATTCTCGTTGCGTCGGAAAGATCTTCTCAAGATCTATCATCACAAAAAACCTGCTCAAACAAAATAACACAAAACACATTCCCAAACTCCAGAACACATCACACACAAATTCTTGCACACGTTCAAACCACACATGCAAGTTGAAAAAATATGGGATGGGAGGCAGACAGAATGTGATAGCATATGATGACATCACACAACATCTACGGCCTGCGCCAGGCGCCTCGTGACTGGCACGACACGCTGCGTGCTACTCTTGCTGACCTGCAGTTCTTTCCGTCCTCTGCAGACCCCTCGCTCTTCGTTCGTGCTGGCTCGACTCCATTCTACATCCTCGTCTACGTAGACGACCTGGTCTTTGCCACAGCTGACAGGGACGCACTGGCCTCCGTGAAGGCAGAGCTGCTGAAGAGACACACCTGCACTGACCTTGGAGAGCTGCGCCGTTACCTTGGCTTGCAGATCTCCAGGGACAGAGCCGCGCGCACCATCACCCTGACTCAGTCACACTTGGTGCGCCAGGTCCTTCAGAGGTTCGGCCTTCAGTTCTCCTCCGCACAGCCCACCCCTCTTCCTCTGGACCACAGACTCTCCGCTCCAGTTCCTGAGGAGTCGGTAGATCCCAGTGGTCCTTACGCTGAGCTAGTGGGTTGCCTCATGTACCTGATGGCTCCTGCGGCGCCCCGTCTACGGCCTGCGCCAGGCTCCCCGTGAGTGGCACGACACTCTGCGTGCTACGCTTGCTGACCTGCAGTTCTTTCCGTCTTCTGCAGACCCTTCACTCTTCGTTCGTGCTGGCCAGACTCCGTTCTACATCCTCATTTACGTCGACGACCTGGTCTTTGCCACAGCAGACAGGGACGCGCTGGCCTCCGTGAAGGCAGAGCTGCTGAAGAGACACACGTGCACTGACCTTGGAGAACTGCGCCGTTACCTTGGCTTGCAGATCTCCAGGGACAGAGCTGCGCGCACCATCACCCTGACTCAGTCACACTTGGTGCGCCAGGTCCTTCAGAGGTTCAGCCTTCAGTTCTCCTCTGCACAGCCCACCCCTCTGCCTGTAGACCACAGGCTCTCCGCTCCAGTGCCTGAGGAGTTGGTAGAGCCCAGCGGCCCCTACGCAGAGCTGGTGGGTTGCCTCATGTACCTGATGACTTGCACTCGCCCAGATCTCGCATACCCTCTCAGCATCCTGGCTCGTTTTGTGGCCACAGGCAGACACCGACCTCAGCACTGGTCTGCCGCTAAGAGGGTTTTGCGTTATCTTGCAAGTACATCGGGCATGGGGTTAGTGCTAGGCGGACGCAGGCCAGTGGTCCTTACTGGACACACAGACGCTTCTTGGGCAGACGACGCCGAGACGCTCAGGTCTTCCCAGGGCTACTGCTTTAGCCTTGGCTCAGGTGCTGTCTCGTGGAGAGCTACCCGCTCCTCGTCTGTTGCCCAGTCCAGCTGTGAGGCTGAGATCTACGCCGGTGCCATGGCGGCACAGGAGCTCCGCTGGCTGACCTTCTTGCTCACTGACTTAGGTGAGCGGCCTAGCTCTGCCCCGGTCCTGTACGCTGACAACAGGGCCATGATTCTCCTGTGTCAGGAGCCTCGACTCGAGGGCAGAGCGAAGCACATCCAGCTGCGGTACTTCCTCCTGCGCGAGCTACAGCAGCGTCGCCAGGCTCGCGTAGTACACTTGGCCTCCGGTGCCAACACAGCTGATATCTTTACGAAGGCGCTTGCGCCTAAAGATCATCAGCGGCACTGTTTACAGCTTGGTCTGGTTCCTGTAGTCTCTCACTTACTCGGGCTTTGACTTTGTACTGTCGTATATATATATATATGTATACACTCAGACTGGAATTGTGTCCTCTCACAGTGGTTGGACTAGTAGTGCCGCCCTGTACTCGTTCTTGCCTTGTCTGTACTCCTTCTCACTGGTCTTTTAGACCCTTGTCTCAGAGGCTGGACTAGTAGTGCCACCCTGAGCTGCTTGTCTAGAACATTCCCCTATGCAGTCCAGGGGGTGTGTCAAACATGTGTAGTTATCATGTTTGTATAGACTGTATAGGGTCACCTTCTAGAGAGTACAACATTTAGGTATATGTTTGTGTACTCTCTCTCTCTTATCATTCAATTCTAGGTTTGATAGTGCTGAGCAAGAAACACGCAGCTCAGGGTGGCACTACTAGTCCAACCTCTGAGGCAGGGGTCTGAAGAAGGGCTGATTTTATCAGACTATTTTAGTCTGATTGTCTGAACTTTCAGACCCATTTTTTTGCCAATCCTGATTTTTCAGACTTAGGCTTTTCTGGATACTGAACCCTTCAGAGTTGTATGATTTTGGATCCTGAAGTTTTCAGAGTAGTCGTTGTGTGCGGATACCGAGGTTTCAGAGTACATCGCGTATGGACTCTGAATGCGATTTACATGCGCCTTCTACTTTCCACGAGATTTCCTCTACTACGTCATATGCTGCCTTCCATCATTTCACCCCCGCACGTCTCACGTGAAAAATCTGCACTTGGCAGGATTCCCGCCCCTTGTGTGACTGTGATGCTGCCCTCAACAGGGACTTCGCCGCTCAGAGCGTCATGCATCCTGCCAGGCAAGCCTGCTAAGGACCTCTACGTGGGTGTGTTGGAAGCCAGCAAAGGCTGGTAACCAGGGCTGACGTTTCAAAAAAAGGCACTCTGATTTTGCCCCCCCAAAAAATTCCCGAGTCTAAAGGGCCATTTTTCGAAATTTCGTTACTCTGAAATCTCAGTGTCCAAAAGTCAACGAGTCTGAAATACTCAGGGTTCAGAATGTCGACTCAGAGTCCTGCGCCCAAGTCGAAATCTTATATTTCCAGAGTTCACACCAGGCCCCACGACTGGTTTTAGGGTACCATGATTCATCAGCTTTTCGTCAAGAAAATTTACGTGGATTCATCAGAGTTTCCTAGCAAAAAATAACCCTTTCATTAGGGCGTGTTAAAAAAAAAACTGATTTGGCAACTAGGAGAGAGGATTTCAGTTTTTTTTTTTTTTTTTTTTAAGTTGCATTCGACTAAGAGTAAATTCCGCATTCTAATAACAGTCGTTCGTATTAGGCGAAATTCTCGACAGCTGCCCGTTTGGTCAACTGAAATTCTATAAAAATGTAACGGCCACGATCGATTGCGATCGTTTCGACGTTTTTTAACCATTCGATGGTTGCAAGTGATAAACGTCTCCCCCTCCGTTTCGCTTCCCCCCTCCCCTCCGTTTCGCTTCCACGCCTCCCCTCCGTTTCGACCCCCCCCCCCCTCCCCTACGTTTCGTTCCCCCCTCCCTCCCCCCCCCCCCCTCCCCTCCGTTTCGCTTCACCCCTTCCCTCGGTTTTGATTCCCTCCCCCTTTCCCCCTCGAATTCGATTCCCCCTCCCCTCCTTTTCGAATTCTCCCCCTCAGGGCCTGTTCGTACACGATACACCGTCACGACACTTTGTATCAAAATTGTTATTGACGGGCAAATTTGACTGCAAAATCAGCAATGACACGAAGTTGCCTGAAAGTGTCGTGTTGGAAAACAACACTCCCTCAATTGAGCCGTGGACTGTGATTATTTAGAGTTAGTTTCACATCGTCTGAGAAATCAGAAAAAAAAAATAAAAAAAATCGCCAGCCAGATGAATGATTTTCTTGTTACCCCTTTTAGGAACTTCACAAAAGTTGGGTAATAAGTAGGATTGCGGGTTGCGGGGGTTTGTGGGAGGATTTTTTTTATGGCTGCAAGGGACTTAGACGATTTTTCCGGGTTGCGGGAGCTGAGGGAGGGATATTTCTTGCTGTGGGGACTTAGCCGAAATTTCAGGGTCGCAAGAGGTGTGGGAGGGATGTGTCTGTCTGTGGGGACTTGGTCGAATTTCTGGGGCTGCGAGGCGAGTAGGGAAGAAATGTGCTGGGGGGAACTATCTCTGGCTGCTAGGACTTAGCCGTATTTTTTAGGTTGCCGGGCGAGGTGTGTGTGAAAGGACTTGACTCTGGCCCTTGGGGACTTAGACGAAATTTTTGGGTGAGGGCAGGGAGGTGCAGTACTAGTATGTGTGTCTCAGGGTCCGTACGCGCTGCGCTCTGAAAACTCAGTATCCGCAAACTGCGAAGTCTGAGATTCTCAGGATTCAAAAACATATAAGTCTGAAGGGTTCAGCATTCAGAAAATGGCAAGTCTGAAAAATCAGGATCGGCAAAAAAATAGGTCTGAAATTTCAGACAATCAGACTAAAATAGTCTGATAAAATCAGCCCTGCTGGTAACGCGGGAAACTGGCCCTCGCTGGCATGTGCAAAATTGTCCGACCGACCGTGATTAGCGACAGTCAATGCCAACACATGGTTCGTAATGTCAGCTCATTTTTGGCATGGCGGCGCGGGTTTGGAAGGGGTTGCCGTCCAAAAGCTGACGAGGGTTAACCAAAAAACACGCGCCTCGGGCTTGATGGTGCCCTTCTTTTTCGTCCCTCTCATCCCTCCCCCTCCTCTCAAGCGCACTCAAGCATTTTGACGGGGTTTGTAAAGCTTCCTCCTCAATCCGTGTTTCGGAGTTGTGCTCCTCACGTAGGTTCTCGTTTGTCGACCCCGTCAACAGCCATGACGGGGAAATCTGCAGAAGAGGACGATGAGCCCAGCGCCAATGAACCACCTCATAGAAAGAAGCCTGCAGAGGTTTGTCGCTCCGCGTTAGACATACTGCGCTCGATAGGTTCCCCTCCCATCGTAGCTGTTGTGGTTTCCTCCGCAGCAGAGGAAACCCAGCTTGCTCTAAACCCACCTCCGTCCGCGCCCTTCGCGCCACCACCATATGTCCCTCCGCCAGCCG